AATTATAGATTATAAAAATATTCTAGCTATTAACTTTTTGAAAATTTTCAAAAAAAGAAAAATGAAATTTCGTGGGGCACACTAATTAATACACTTATATAACGTTTTTTTCCTTATTTTAAAGATAATATTTCGTTACTTTTTTGACCGTATTCTTTTTTTTTTTTTACTACGTGTCAAAATTATACGAAAAGTACAAATGAAAAAATACAAGTATTTTCATGTGATCGCAATGATTGCAATATTCCAAGTAAAAATGACATTTATAATAGTAAGTTTTAAGATGAATTACGATGTAAATGATCGTACTTAAAGAAACAAGGCAGTTTTTAAAATTAAGCAACGAAGAATGAATTTCTCGGTCATCTGATGGTAAAAATGAAAATAGTGACACTGGTACGTTTCCGGTGAAATTCCGATTATTTAATTATCAATGCATCAATGTTTAATTGAATCGCATATAGAATATTAAATATTCGCTATTTTAGACTTGTTTCTTCAGAAAATTTCATCTAAAACACATACATATCCAATATTACAAAAACAAAAAGGAATTTACTGAATTTTTAGTAACGAACGGAAATGAGAGAGGGCATTCATGTTCTCGAAAAATTTTAAATTATACTACATCAGTCATGATAAAAACACTGTGTATATATCTGTGCATATAATATTCTTAACAGAAAAAAAAAAAACAGACTTAAAATTGAGTTAAATTTTATCATCGTAAACATAAATTTTCCAGACATAGTTTCATATGTGAAGAAATTGTATTTAAAAAGACGTACTTTCATTAATTAAACGTTGTTTACAATTTTTCATTCGATCGTGAAAAAGGAAATGAAAAAGAAAAACAAGAAAACAGGGCTGTGTCTGTTACGTGCAATCTACTTCAAGGAACGAGTATAAAAATTGAGCATAATACTGTTATTTAACATACTGTTGTAAATTTAATATAATTACATAAAGTATGCGCTGAAAAATTTTAACAGTTAATTTTTTAGGAATATTTTTCTTGAACAATTTTATTAAATATAAATATTCCGAAGACCGATTTTTTTATTGATCGATATTGATATTTAATACGCTAATTTCTCCGTATTTTATATACCACACTCACACACTTATGAATCGTGAATATATGAAGAAAGTGTGCGATGTGTGCAGACGATTGGTCACGATTGGCAGATTTTAACTCCGAGTGTCCTTATAATGAGAACCAGCTGTTGGACCAAATTGCCATTATGGCCATTTTGATTTAGAAATGCGTTACTTTTTCTAAAGAACGATCCGAACGATACGAAACATTAGCATAACAAAAAAGTAACACGGACTTTGTTCAAAAGCACTGTGACATTTACGGCGGACATGTATTTACATCGAGCGATCGCGAGCTTAGAAAGAAGAGAAAATACCTTTTTAAAAACAAAAAAGAAGATTTGTACGTGTGTACACTGTAAATTCGTTTTAAAAAGGTATTTTATATATATACGTATGTTTAATGATAAAATAAAGAGATACGTATGACGAATTGACGAAGAGGATTTTAATTATGATTCTTTTTTTCTTTTTTTCATTCTCATGAATATTCTTCGTAACAATAATTTGAATTAAGTTAAAAAAAAAAACGGGTGAACGTATAATTTTTGTAGAAATTCAAACATACATGACAATTTAAATTCATACTAATAT